AGAGAGAGAGAGAGAGAGAGAGAGAGAGAGAGAGAGAGAGAATTATAATATAATAGAAGAAATTTTTGCAACGTGTGCACCTATTTAGTATTGATAAAATAGTGAATTGTTGAATTGATAGACACTCAATTTCTTATTGCTCCAAGATTATAATAAAACGTGCGAAGTGTTATCGTCGCTCTTTTAAAATTTACGAACAAGATTAGAAAGGAATGCAACTACCATTAACTCTTTCACGTTTACGTAGATTTGTAGATATGTGTGTGAATAAGAAATTCTAAATTTAAAACTATTGTAATTAATACATGATTAAGAAATAATAAAGAAATATAAAAGATAATTTTTCTCAACACAAAGATAACCGAAAAATACTTGACATTAAAAATGTACATAAATATGTTAACAAATCTTTTATAATTTTTATCTATAATATAAGTCATTTTTACAGTAAACTTCAATATATCAGAGTTAGTTCAATATATCGGCTTAATTCGTATTTAAAATACTTTCAACTGACATTGAATAATGACTTCTTATTGAAGAAATTTTTATTGAAATGTCCAACCCAGAAATTCCTCAAGGAATAGAACTTATAGAATTACGATAATAATTATTACCGTACAATATTAATAAATATACAATATTAATTAATATTATGGGATCAAAAATCGTATAAAATATATAGTAAGATTAATTGGATACTGAAAATTTCCACGCCACATAACTTGGACTTTGCATTTTTTAAGTGGCACACAAATCATCTTTTATGATTAAAATGAGCTTTGTGCGGTGAATAAATGTTTTGCCAGCTGTCGCTAAAATGCTTTTTAGATATCACAGTTCTGAAGTCTGAAGTTAATGTGGATACATTTTCCGCGGTTACAAACGATTACAACGTTTACAGATATTTATTGATACTTTACTTTTTAAGTAACATTGAAAAAATATATGGCTTGTGTTACATGACGGTACATAAAGTGCTGGAACTCATAAAATGTTAATCAAGTTTCTGATTAAAACTGCATTAAATTTTATGAATTGTTAAATTAAAAAAGAATATTAAAAACGAAAATATTCTCGCATAACAAAAATTGTAGTAGAACGAGGTAAAAGAATTATTACACGTCATGAGTGAAAAATGTACTGGGGAATCAATCCTCGATGAAACATATTTTTGGATATTAAGTACATACGTACTTATTATATAATCCGCTTTTAAGAATTTTACAAACATTTTTTTTAATTTTCGTAATTCAAAAATACGCGTTTTTCCTCTCTGATGAGTTTTCTCTTTTTGAGGCGCTTCGATTAATTTATTCTCATAATTTATTCTCACATAGAGGATAGTTAAGTGTTTTACCTTAATTTATTCTTTAATGTTATGGAATAACTATTGAGAGGAATCATTCTTTTCGACTGTTATTTATCGTTCATAGATTGCAATGGAATGTCTCAACGTATATATGCACTTGCGAAGTAGTACTATGAGCGATAAATGCAAGTGCATTCGATATATAAACTTTTATCACGTTTCGCACGTGACGCTTTTCCCGTATTCTCCCATATTTCGCGTTTTTCACTAATCCTCCCACTTGTAGCACTAATTTTATGTCTTCTTTTTATGCATTTGTCAAATAAATTATGCAACGCGATTTTGCAAAAATTGTGTGTTGTTCAATGGGTACATTCCGAGTTCTCGTTATCATCTCACTTGGGAGCGATTACGTTAACGATATTGATGATCGATTTCGTTGTTGTCCAAGTTTTAGCACTATCTTGAATTTAACATTGCAATAAGATAGGTTTTTTTCACAATGGCATTTAATTGTTCGCGCTATATAATACATTATATAATGAAACCGTGTCATACAACAATTTTCTATTTCCGTGAGTAAAAATAGAGTTTCTCTCCTAGAAATATTTCAATATCTCTCATCACAACTAAATTGTTAATAAACAAATAGGTCCTTATTTTTTTATACATATTTCGTTTCTTTTATTATTAAAATTTTATATATATATATATATAAATAAAAATATATTTTTGAA